CTAAGCCCCCCCCCCCCCGCTGTTGTCCTTCTCCCTTTGCAGGCAGTTCATGGACTCTCTGCAGTTGGACCCGGAAACGGTGGACAACTTGGACACGTACAACCACATCCCCCCCGTCTTGATGGAAAAATGTGCAGCCCTCAGCGTGCGCCCCGAGACGGTGAAAAACCTGGTCCAGTCCATGCAAGGTAAGAGGCTGGCTTCCTCTGCTTTGCGGAGCTTTGCGCCTTCCGCTCCGAGAGGCTGCTGTGATCTTGCAGGCGTTGCATCTTCTCCAGACATGCCTGTTCATTCTTTCATTCTTTCGTTCGTTCGTTCGTTTGTTCCCCACCTTTCACCTTAAAAAGACCCAAGGCAGCTTACATCGCTAAAAGGGTAGCATTAACCCACCTTTCACCTTAAAAAGACGCAAGGCAGCTTACATGGCTAAAAAGGTAGTATTAAAGCTAACAACAGTGAGTGTAAAAATACTAAATAGGATCAAACAGATTTCATGCTGAAAAAAGCATAAGCAACACCAAAAGCCCTTTCAAACCAGTCAAGGCACCTCCATCCATTTAAAAACAAAACAAAAAAAAAGGCCCACCTTGGTGCTGCCTCCTTATCTCTCTCTCTCTCTCTCTCGCTCCCTGGCAGTGCTCTCTGGAGTTTTCACGGACGTGGAGGCCTCTCTGCAGGAGATCAAGGACCTCCTGGACGAGAACGAGGCCCAGGAGCAGAAGCTGCGGGAGGCCCTGGCGAAGCCACCACCGCCGGCGTCGCCTCCCACCCCTTCCTCCTCTTCCTCTGCGCTGGCGGAAGTGGCCAAGGAATGGGCCAAGTACATGGAGGTGCACAAGAAGGCCAGCTTCACCAACACGGAGCTGCACAAGGCCATGAACCTTCACATCAGTAACCTGAGGCTGCTCAGTGGGCCCCTGGAGCAGGTGAGGGCCGCCCTGCCCGCGCCCACCCTGACGGAAGGTAAGGACTGGACCAGGGCCCCTCCTGCCCCTCCTCTGTGTCCGGGGGGGGGGAGCCCCCCCAGCTGCCGTCCGATGGGGCTTTCCCCCACACACACCCCTTTGCTGAGCAGGGCCGGGGGGTTGGCTCTTGCCCCGATAGCCACAGGAAGGGCCCCAAGGGGGAGCTGGAGGTGGGATGTGGCTTCTCAGAAATCAAGAGTAGATCAGGATCCTGAGCAGCCGTTGGAATCCTGCAGGTCCCCCCCCCCCCGGCCGTGTCCAAGACAGGTAGCTTTTCCTTTTTTCCTAATGCTCTGCTGGCCGGCTGCAGTCGGCCGTTCCTGCCTGGTTTGGTTTTTGTGTGTGTGGGGGGGGTGGTCCCTCCTCTGCCCTTTCTGCCCAGCCATTCATTGGCAAAGCTCCAGATCACAATTCCTACCCCTGGTTTTGGTTCTCCCCCCCACGTCCCACGTCTGGTGCTGATAAGAAGGGAAAGGAAAGGAAGGGGGACGGAGGGTCTTGTGGAGGGGTTTGGCCCCCCCCTTGAGTGACCCCTGATCGGCCGACTCTCTCGCCCCGCAGACGACAAGCAGGTGATGCAGAACCTGAAGCGGATCCTGGCCAAGGTGCAGGAGATGAAGGACCAGCGGATCTCCCTGGAGCAGCAGCTGCGGGAGATGATCCAGAAAGATGACATCACCACCTCCCTGGTGACGACGGATCGGTCGGAGATGAAGGTGAGCCGCTGGGGGCCAACCGGGCAATCCTCCATGGCCTTGGGGGGGGTGGTGGCCCAGGGGGTCACCTGACGGTTCCTTCTCCCAGGAAGTGTGGGGTCCTGGGATCCATCCTGGACAGGCCTTGGGGGGGGAACCTTTATCAGAAATCCCCCCTGGTAGACTCAGGAGGCCCTTCCCTCTGTGGGGCAGCGACGCTCAGAATCCCACGGCGAGAGCTGGTGGTGGGGTGCCCCCTCGTGAAGGGAAGATGGGGCACACCGGGAGCTCACTGGGTTGGCCGTCAGGCTAAGGGCCGGCTGGGGTGGCCGTGGGAGAAGAGCGGTCCAGCCCCAGCGCTCCCCAAGGAGGAAGGAGGGTTGACCCGCTCCCGAGGACTTTTATACCCAGAGAACCCCGGAAAAGGGTGGCCGTCGGTTGTCCTTTTCCTGCCTCTCCTTGCCCTCGGGACCACTCCCCGGAAATCCTTTCCTCCGAGCCTCTTTCCCGCCTCCCCTGGCCCTGGCCTTGGCCTGACTCTGGCTCCCTCTCGCTCTAGAAACTCTTTGAGGAGCAGCTGAAGAAGTACGACCAGATCAAGGTCTACCTGGAGCAGAACATGGCGGCCCAGGAGAACATCCTCAAGGCCCTGACGGAGGCCAACGTCAAGTACGCGGCCGTGCGCAAAATCCTCGCTGAGGTGGAGCACAAGTGAGTGGCCGGAGAGCCTCGGGTGGGGAGGAGGCGGACGCTCAAGTCGGCCGGTAGGGGGCTCTGCCACCCTTTTCTGGAGCCCCGTGGGGTGGCACGGCCTTCCGGCTCGACAGGTTTGAGCTTGGATCAATCCTTGGGGGGGCTGCGTCCCAGGAACAGGCGGGGCCCAAAGGGGACCCTGGGGCATCTCGGCACTCCTGGCTTCGCCTTTTGCCTTGAGGAATCCGGAAAACCCCTCCAGCCGCCGAAGAGCCTCCCTGCGGGGGGTATGCTGGAGAAGTCCAGGGGTGGCTTCCCGGCCCCGGCGTCCGTCCTGAGGAGACCTGGCGCCTGACCTGGCCCACGGAGCGCCCGTCCTTTCCCAGGGCGGCCCTCGGGGCCAACCCTCTTCTCTCTGCAGGGAGAGGCAAGTCCTCCCGGGGTTCCCCCTTGTGCTGATGGCAGGTCGCCTCCGCCCACGGCTCTCTTTCTCCTCAGATGGAACACGACCCTGCAGACGTTGGTGGCTTCGTACGAGGCTTATGAGGACCTGATGAAGAAATCGCAGGAGGGGAAGGATTTCTACGCTGACCTGGAGAGCAAAGTGGCCAAGCTGCTGGAGAAAAGCCGGGCGGCCTGCCAGGAGGCCGAAGCCGCCCGGCAGCAGCTGATGGCCAAGTAGGCAGCCTTGCCAAGGGCAGTGGGGGGGCCGGGGGGGGGGGGTTCAAAGGGGGGGGGGGGTGGCTGGCC